AAAAGACCTTGATGTTAGGAAAGTGTGACAGCAAGAGGAGAAGGGGACGACAGAGGATGAGATGGCTGGACAGTGTCTGCGAAGCAACCAACATGAAATTGACACAACTACGGGAGGCAGTGGAAGATAGGAGGGCCTGGCGTGCTCTGGTCCATGGGGTCACAAAGAGTCGGACACGACTAAACGACTAAATGACGACGAATGGAAAACTCAGCAGTGGCCAGAGGATTGGAAAAGATCAGTCTACATCCCAGTCTCAAAGAAGGGAAGTGCCAAAGAATGCTCCAACTACTGTACAATTGCACTCATTTCACACGCTAGCAAGGTTATGCTCAAAATCCTACAAGGTATGCTTCAGCAGTATGTGGACCAAGAACTCCCTGAAGTACAAGCTGGATTTCAAAGGGGCAGAAGAACTAGAGACCAAATTGCTAACATGCGCTGGTTTATGGAGAAAGCCAGAGAGTTCCAGAAAAACATCTCCTTCTGCTTCATTGACTACACAAAAGCATGGCAGAAAGTGAGGAGGACTGAAAGAACCTCTTAATGAGGGTGAAAGAGGAGAGCGCAAAAATGGTCTGAAGCTCAACATCAGAACAACTAAGATCATGGCCACTGGTTCCATCACCTCCTGGCAAATAGAAGGGGAAGATATAGAGGCAGTGACCGATTTTACTTTTTTGGGCTCCATGATCACTGCAGATGGTGACAGCAGCCATGAAATCCTTCCTTGGAAGGAAAGCAATGATAAACCTAGACAGCACCTTAAAAAGCCACCCTTCCCCCCCACACCTTAATTCAAGCTTTCTCTTTTGCTTGCCTGTTCTTTTTCATAGTTTTCAGTCTCTCTTTCTCTCTCACACACAAACACATCCACCTTCCATCCCTCCCTCCCTTTTCTCCATACATTTTCTACATACATTTAAATAAGGTTGATGAAGCCTCCGTCTCTCCCACCTTCCTTCCTTCCTTCCTTCCCTCGTTAACTTGATCCTTTCCCTCCTCCTACTTGCTTGCATTTATTTCCAGAGGAAGCAGTCATTAAGAAGCCCCCTGGATTGATTTATTGATTGATTGCCCAGGGCTAATCCACAGCTGTAACCAATCAAGCAGGCTCATCTCTGATCTCTGAAAGAATGGAGGATTTACAAGTGCCCTGCTACAACCAAGGAAGCAACAGGAAGAGGTGGCTTGCATTTTGAGGTTTGGCTGCAGAGGGTAGGGTGTGGGTGTGGGGAGGGTAGTACTCTGCTCATTACCACTGGGATTTTCATTTTTACCCCATTTGGGGTAATTTACCCGTTTTCCGACCACTGAAGTAGATCAACATCTCTACACTCATTTGAAACTGTTACCAAAGCAAAAGCAAAGGGAAAGACACAGCAAGAAAAGGATCAGATGTTTTTAATCTAATGATCAGCTTCAAGGCTGTTATATTGCAACAGAGGCATCTGAGGATAAGTCAGTATGCCTGCTATTTATGTGTAAGGCTTTTGTGGTTCAGCATCTCCCAAAGTCGTAACATTCATTTTGGTTAACGTGAGCCAGTCACCTATGTCATGGGCTTCATTTGAGAAAAAATAGTTTGGAGAGAACAGTTATATAGCCTTGTATGCTTCCTGGAAGGAGGGTGAGATATAAATGTTTAAAAATAAAATAAAGATAAAAATAAAGAAGTCTGTCAAGATGAACCTGTCACTTGCCTAATATTGGGTAGTCTATGCCTGTCTGTTTTGCAGTAATATAGGTACAGTAGTGCCTCGCATAGTGACAGCTCCATTTAGTAACGAAATCACTTTGCGACACATTTTTTGCGATTGCAAAAGCGATCGCTTTGCGATGTTCTCTATGGGGGAATTTCACTTTGCGATGACTGATCATCGCAAAGCGACCATTTTTGGCCAGCTGATCGGCGGTTTCAAAATGGCCGCTGGGGAAAAAACATGGCCGCCCGCTGTTTTCTGGGGCGGATTCCTCGCTTAAGAGGCACCAGAAATGGCCGCGCTATGGAGGATCTTCGCTGAACTGTGAGTTTTAAGCCCACAGGAATGCATTAATCGCGTTTAAATGTGTTTCAGTGGGCTTTTTTATTTCCCATTGCGACATTTTCGTTCTGCAGCGATTTTTGCGGAATGAATTAATGTCGCAATGCGAGGCACCACTGTAAACGTGTTTACGACTGCATGAGTCTTAACAAGTTATTTGGTATATTTAAATGTTAAACTTTAGAGTGAAGCTGTGCTAAATCCAAAATAGATACATAGAATCGACAGACAACTTCAGTACAGTGGGGTCTTGACTTGAGAACTTAATCCGTATTGGAAGGCGGTTCTCAAGTCAAAAGGTTCTCAGGTCAAATCTGCATTTCCCATAGGAATGCATTGAAAACCATTTGATCCGTATCTGATCTTTTTGTCCATAGAAACTAATGGGAAGCTGCTATTCCGCCTTCGACCACTAGAGGGGGATATTTTGTTTCTTTTTTTCTTAGGTCAAGAAAGGTTCAGGGAAGGCAGGGAAAATACAGTCCAGGCAGTACAGTACCAGGCAGTCTGAAGACTGTCTCCCAATCCACTCTCTAAACGCTGGGAGGAGTGAGGACGCAGACAGGCACCCTTTTCACTGGCCAACAGTTAACTGAAAGTTCACATTTTGCACTTTCCCTGCCTCCCACGTGGTTTTTTTTCAGTTCTTAAATCTAAGTATGTAAGTCAAGTCAATATTTTCCTATGAGAGTGGTTCTTAAGTCAAAATGTTCTTAACTCGAGCCGTTCTTAAGTCAAGACCCCACTGTATTAATTAAAAATTAAATGTTCTTAGTTTTAGACCTAGGAAAATCAGTTCTGTATAATCTAGAGAAAAAAGTACCAACATTGTAATAATGAAGGTAAATAATAAAATCATTATACACCATGTACATAAAATCCATGTTTAGTTATTTGTATAGTGTTACTGGACTTACCTTTCCTCCTTTTTTAAAATATGAAGTCTGTCTTTATGCAAAATATAGTAGAGGATGGTCTCCACTATGCAAGTTAGATTCATAAAGCTGGCAACTTGCACGGATCTGTCACGGTTTATTCCTTGAAGTGCTAAATTCCTTTTAGTCTTTCATGACTTCAACTGGCAGATGGCTTTTGTCCTGGCAAGATAACTGGGAACCTGGTCAGAACAGTGGTATAAGTAACAAAGGTTTGACAAGTGAAGCAACCTCCAATAGCCACTGTTCTCTGAGGTAATAATGCCTTATTAGCATATTTGAAATGAACAAAGAAAGCATTACCTTCTTTGCCTTGCAACCTTTTCTGGTCTGGCAGGATGCAAAACTGTTTCCATGAGATCCATAAGCAAGACACCAAGGCACACAACTGTTTCCTGAAATAAAATTAAACCTTGGAGCAAGATTGCAATATTGTTAGTGGATATAGAGTAATTCAAATATTATTAGATCCAAAAGAAAGATCTAAAAAGTACAAGCAGGACATTTTTGTAGGAGAAATAGTGAAGTAGTGACAACTTTAAAAAACAAATTTGAGAAGAGCACAATAGTTCACTTCAGGTTTACTACAGAAATGCAAAAACTATTTTGGAATGTTATTCAAAAACTGTTTTATCAGAGTTTCACATGGACTAGAAAAACAGGCACATCAATGATACTAAATTGTTTTCACCATCCATATCCACTTTCCAGAACTGCAAGCTTGATGTGTGTAGAATATATTTCAGTGAAAAGTTAGGATAATTATTTTCCATCTGGCCTTTGCCCCCTGGGTAACCTTGGATAAGCTGCACAGTACCAGAGTGCCCGCCAAAGGAATAGTAAAAAACGATTGAGTATTGTCTACCCAGGAACACTGGAAGGGTTTGGCAGGAGTTGGAATTGATATGGTGAAACATTATTTCATTTATTTAAAATATTTCTATCCCGCCTTTCTCCCCAGTAGTTATGGTTATAATTACCATTGCAATTATTGGCTTTTGATGAGAACGTTGTCTTGTTAAACACAGAATACTGTGGCTATACTGAGCTATGCAGCCTTTGTTGCTGATGAGACTTTTTAGTGGCATCTTCTCTTTTTAGATGCCGCTTTTATCCAGCCTGTCTTTTTTCAAATGTCATGGAATTTACAGGCAATATTTTGTAGTTTCTTGTGCATATCCCTTGGTTTAGCTGTTTTACATGTTCTTGATACTGCAGCATAACCTTGTTAACATCTTTAACTGATATGAAACTGTGTCTCTCTTGTACAAATTGATTTTCACATTTTCATTCAGGTAGCTAATCAAAAGCTAAAATATAAAATTTCATTTTTTTAAAAAAATTTCCTTGACCAAGAAGCATTTTACAGAACAGGTAAACAAATATTTGTTTACTCACTTGAAAAGTGTTAGCTGGTGTAATATGATTGCGCTTGACAATATTTTGCTACAGTGAAGAAAAATTTACAATACAGCAAACTGGAATGTAACATTTTGAATTCTGACCAACCTGTAGTTAATAAAATTAAAGCATGGCTATCAAACACTTTTACAAAAAGAATGACTTTCCAGACCTTTCTGAGGAGCTCTCAACAGTCCCTCTAATCTGTGGGGTACATGACCATGCAATGATGCTTCAGTGTAATCGGAAGTGGTGCCCTGAGACTGTGAATCTTGCCCAAGGCTACACAGGCTGGCTTTTCTCTCAGGAGGCACAATGAGGAATTGAATGCTCAGTCTTTGACTTATCAGCCAAATACCTAACCCACTGAACGATCCAGCCAGCTTTAGCTACATGTTGCTAACAAATGATTTAAAAAGAAATGTAGTAACATGAATAAAGTGCCCAGGAAGTATAACAGTTTTCTCTCTGTTTAAAATAATATGTTTCAAGAGTTTTAATCTAATCTATACAAATCAGATTTAAGTAGAGATTTGAATTTAGAAAAGTTTATTGATAGCCTGAGAGGATTTGCTTAGCAAAACCACAGAGATGCCCTCAGTTTTCATACAACCAAACTGGAAATTAAGGCAGCCATTCAAAAACTCCCATCAAGATAAATGTCTGGAATAGGTGGGTACAACAGTGAATTCTGTAAAGTCCTTGCTGATGAATTAATGCCATGTATTTTATTGCTCTTTCATATTTCACAAGGAGGAGAGAACTTTAGAAGCTGTAAACTTGCCACGTAAACAGCAATACATAAGCCAGGATATGATGATAGCTACATATCAACATCTACTCAGTGTCACCTTTGCCAAATGACTTAACAGATTATTTATTTATTTATTTATTTATTTATTGGACTTGTATACCGCCCCATAGCGCTACAAGCACTCTCCGGGCGGTTTACAATTTTAATTATACAGGCTACATATTGCCCCCCCCCAGCAAGCTGGGTACTCATTTTACCGAGATTCATTATAGATAATTTTTTATTAGTAGATAAAATGTACTTTATGCCCATTAGGCAACTTGATGGTCTTGTTAACAGTGTAACATTGTGGATATAAAAGTAAATTACCACTTGCTGTATTCTCTTTATATGTGCATAAAGCCTTTGACTGGATTGAATGGCATTATCTATTGAAATCTCTCTGTAGGTGCCTAGAGTCCCTACAGGGAGAAAGAGAGAGTATAAATTAAATAAATATAATATAAATAAAGGATTTTTGGTGTGAATATGTGATACATGTATGCCATTTATCTAAAGACCTTACAATAAATCTCAAGATATAGTCCACATCTAAATATTCTTGACTCTCCACCATTCCAAATGAAGAGAGGGACCTGACAGGGATGCCTTCTGTTTGATTTTTCTTTTTTCCTAGCAAATTTAAAGAGGTCTCATCTGGAAGTACAAGGGTTCTCTGTCAGTAAGCAATCTTGTCTTGTTAATATAAAGTTAGATAATTTTTTTTAATAGTTATTGACTCTGAAAGCTCTACAAATTCTGAAGGTGGTAGTAAACCACTTCCAACTATTTTCAGGTTTAAACATTTATTATTTAAAATCTAAAATCCTTTCTTTAAACATCTTACCTTTACAACAACATAAACTGTGGGAACAAATAGGACCCCTCCTATATCTTTATTCTTTCAATTCCCCTAGTATTTTAGTAACTAAAGACATGAATAAGTTGATTCCCTGAAACTATTTACTGGAAATCAGTTGAATTAAATAAAAAACAAGAAACTTTGATCACAATTGAATTATTATTCAAAATCTAAAACCTTTTCTTTAAACATCTTACCTTCAGAAGAACATAAACTGAGGGAACAAATAGGATCCCTCCTATATCTTTATTAATTCAATTCCCTTAGTATTTTAATAACTAAAGACATAAATCGCAATTGGTTAGCTCAATAAAATAACATATATTGCCTCGGCTGTTTTTTGCTATTCAGAATTATCCCACCTGAACTAGAGGTGAGCAAGCATGGATGGCATTTAGTTCATGGTTGTGACGTTTACCACGTGGCCCCTGCTTGTTTCCCGAAACAAAGGGCTCACACTATGTCATCCCACCAGCAGATACCAATTGTGACATTCTGTCTTTTCCTCACTGCCACCAGTGGATTTCCTTTATCTACAATATATAAAGAACCTTAGTCAGACACTTGTTGCTGCCAACAGAACTTATTTATTGAAAGGTGTTAAATGTAATCAGATTCACAGATGTTGTTTATTCAATGCATACAATCAAATCATTAAAATGTCATATATCTTGCCACATAACCAATCACCACCTGCTCTATTGATCTTGACCAGCTTATATCTTAGTATCTGTTCTCACTATCTCCCTGACTATCTCTCTCTCTGCAAATTCTATATCTCCTTCCTTGATCTCTTCTGTCCAACTTTCTTATATCTGCTGACTCCGCCCCTCCACTCCTCTCATAGGCTCATGCAAATGAAATCCTGAATATGAGTGACAGGGGTCACGTGGGGCAATCGTCACATACCTCCCCCTAAGAAAAGTTTGTTTCATGGGGAAAACTTTACAGTTTACCCTTATGAACAACGAAATATGCAGGGAACAATTCATCCAAAACATCCTCACAATAATATGCTAAATATTAAATCATGTACAGTGGTGCCTTGCTTAATTATTGCCCCGCTCTACAATGAAATCGCTTGTTGATTAGGTTTTTGTGATCGCTTTTGCGATCGCAAAATGATGTTTTAAATGGTTTTTTTTTTCATTTAACAATGATCGGTTCCCTGCTTTGGGAACCGATTTTTGCTTTACGACAATCAAAAACAGCTGATTGTTGGGTTTCAAAATGGCCGACGGCTGCTTAAAATGGCTCCCCGCTGTGTTTTTTGATGGATTCCTCGCTTTACAGGCAGCGAAAATGCACGCCCCTATGGAAGTTCTTCGCTGGACGGTGAGTTTTCAGCCCATTGGAACGCATTGAGGGGTTTTCAATGCATTTCAATGGGCTTTTTTATTTCACTTTACGACGTTTTCACTCTACAGCGATTTCGCTGGAACGAATTAATGTCGTTAAGTGAGGCACCACTGTATTATATGTTACCATTTAACACAATATAATTATATGCAGTACCTATGCATATTTTCTATTAAATGCCTCTCAATTACTCTATTGAGAAGATCAAACTTATTAAACATTTAAAACAATTAGTACAATTATAACCATTTGCATTAATTACATTAATACAATTCACATTACTTTTACATTTATACCACTACTTACCATTATTTCAACAAGACATTGCAGTTTAATTACATCTCAAAACTAGTGTGCAAACAGAACATTTCTTACATTACACTTTTCCTTTTATCCATCCGTTAGTCCTCTGGTCTTCGAGACAACACGTCAGCCACCACGTTCTGGGTTCCCTTCACATTCCAAATTTCATATTCGAAGTCCTGCAAGATTAGGGCCCATCTCATCAGTTTGTTGTTATTGGACCGAATAGTCCTTAGCCACAAAAGTGGGGAATGGTCAGTGCATAGTACAAAATGTCTTCCCCAGATATATGGTCACAGTTTTTGCAATGCCCAGACTATGGCTAGGCACTCCTGCTCAATCGTGGATAAATGCCTCTCGACCGCCTGCAGTTTCTTGCTGAGATCGGGCACAGGATGATGGTTTCCGTCATCGTCAGCTTGCCTCAGCACGGCTCCTAGCCTGACGTTGGACGCCTCTGTGAAGACTATAAACTCACGCTGGAAGTCTGGGGCTCTCAGGAC